ATTATTTATTTATCTTTTATTACTCCCCTTTTTATCTTTATTCTTTCTTTACTTATCTTATTTCTTTTTATTTATCTTTCTTTTTTCTTTTTATTATTCTTCTCTTACTTCTTTCTTTTATTATTTATTTATTCTTTATTCTTATTTCAAGAGAGAATAAAAAGAAATTAATATTTAATAAAAATGAAATAAGTAAAATCAAAATAAGAATATAAAATAATGAAGTGTTCATTGTATGAATCATCAAATAGTTAATAAAAATGAATATTTCATAAATACCAGATATTTAATATAGAAGATAAATTAAAACAAATATAAATAATAGATGATATGACAATAATATATGTTAATAAGATAATTCTAGTATTTACTAATGAATTTTGAAATCTATAGATTTCTCCTTGAAAAAATAATACAATTTAATAAACTAAAATGAAAGTAATTGGAGTAGTAATAACAATAAATTGATTATTTAATAAAGAATCAGTAATAATGTTAAAATAACATCGTACAAATAATTCCATGAGAAATAAATGTAAAAGATATAATAATTATAAACATAAATGACATAATGAAATAATGTGGATAACATGGAAGTGAATATATTGACATAGAATTACCTCATTGAAATGACTCCGTAAAGAGTGAAGGATGTGATGTAATTTCACTTGAGTAAATTGAAATAAATAAAACAAGATCTATTCTTACTTATTTTATTAGTTTTTAGTTATTTTTTAATTTTATTTTTTTGATTTTCCTTATTTCTTATTTATTTCTTATTTTTTATTTTATTCTTATTTTTATTATTATTATTATATTTTTCTATTCTTATTCTCTATATTTTATATTTCTTTATATATGTTTTATCTTATATTAACTTGTTTATTATTTATTTATTTTCTGTTCTTCTACTTCTTTCTTCTTTTTATTCTTTCTTTTTCTTTTTTCTTTATTTTATTATGTTCATTACTTTCTCTATCCTTCTTTAAATCTTTTGTATCATTAATTCTTTCTTCATTATCTTATTTATATTCATTATTTCTTATTTCTCTATTATGTGTTGAATTTTATTTTAATTGTTGTGTTCTTAGGATATTGTGTGTATTTAATTTTATTTTATACTGCTTTCTCTTTTTATTTAATTTTGATTTATTTCATTTCTCTTTTTTGAATTGTTTCTTCATTTTTATTCGTACTTTTCTTGTATATTCTCTGAATATCATTTTTCTTTTCAGTTCTTTTCTTATTTGTTTTCCTTTCTTTGTATTTAATTTATTTCAATTTCTTTTTTATTTTTATTTATTTCTTCTTGTTTTTATTCTTTCTTTTTCTATTTTCTCTTTCTCTTATCTTTTTTCTTTCCTTTTCTTATTTCTATCTCCTTTTTTCTTCTTGTTTTTTCTTTCTATTTCATTATTTCTTCTTTCAATATCATTTCTATGTTTTTCTTGTTGTTAATCATTGTGTTCTCTTTCTCTTGTATTAATAGTTATCTTATTATGTTCATTATGTTTTATAATAATATTCTGTGTTTTCAATACAATAACTTCTTTTTATTTTATGATTTATTTCTTTATTTTCTTTATTATTTTCTTATATTTCATCCTTATTTATACTTTTCTTCCTTACTTTTCCTTTTATAGTTTTTCTTACTTCTTTTATTTATCTTTCTTTATTATTATCTATTCTTTCTTTATTTCTTTTTTATTTATTTTTATTCATTATTTACTTGTATTTCTCTTGTTTCTTTCCTCATTAGTATTCTTTGTTCTCTCTTTTTTATCTTTATTCTTTCTTTTTCTATATATTACATCTTTCTTTACAATTATTTTATATCTTTTTCTTTTCCTATTCTTTTTTGTCTTTCTCTTATTCTTTTATTATATTTATTTTATTTATCTTTTATATC